TTCATATAAATAAATATATTTAAAATATAGTTTATACATTTATATAACTATTATATTCCTATTTATCATTTACTAAATTTATATAATAAAATTATTTATTAAATTTTAAGAATAATTATATTTATTTTATGTACAGAATTTATAAAATTCTTTATATTAAGCTTTTCTTGTTTACATCACTTTGCAGTTTCTCACTCCTGATTGGACTCAGATTAATACAATTATTGGATATACTATTCAACTGATTTATAGAAGATGAATTTGGGCAATGCATGGCTCCTTTTGTTTTTTTTTTAACTTTTGCCATCTCTTATCTCTAGGATACGATGCTCATAGAATAAAAACATTTTGGCCCCTCAAAAGGGCCAGAGCCTACAATCCTCTGATCTTTATGATGCCATACCTCTTTTTATAGTAGACATTAAATGAATTTCCCAAGGATATCTTGGATATTCTCAATTTGACAGTAAAGTTTCTCAGGTAGGAAGAGAGGCTTGTTTTTTTGAGTGAAGATTTCAGGAAAAATTGTTAACATGACTTATTTTTTTATTGAAGGATTTCCTTAAAACCTCAAAGTGACTATGATGAAATAATTCAACAGAAAAATAATTTCCAACAGTGATGTTCTGTAATGTTCTCCAGACTTAAATTCTAGTACTGTGTTCATTTTACTGTATGAGCATTTGGACCTTTATCTAGTGACCTATAAATTTATAACTAATCTTTAACGAGCACTTAGCATGTACAAGATATGGTATCAAATGCTGTAAAGAAAATTTTCCAAAGCTTGGAAATAAGCAAAAGAGATTACTGCATGTCCTTTTCAGGTTACCTAAGCATTGTCTAGCCAATACACCCAAGGATTAGCCAGTTCTCTAGGAGTATGTACATTTGTTTGACTTGCTATTTTCTCTTTTTTTAAATTATTTTTTAATTTAGTTTCAAGTATACAGTACATTGGTTAGACATCTATACAGTTCATAAAACGATCCTCCTGATTGCACCCTCCCTCCCCGACCCTCCACCTAGCCAACGTATTAATGCTAACTGCATTCCTCATGCCATGCTCCCCAACCCTGTGACCATCCATCAGCTACTAATTTGTACTTCTTTAGCCTTTCACCCCATTCTCTCAGTCCCCCATACCCTCCTCCCCTCTGTCTGACCAAATTGTTCACTATATTTGTGAGTCTGTTTTTGATTAGTTTTTTCTTTTTATTCCTTAGATTCCACATATAAGTGAAGTCATATAGTGTTTATCTTTCTCTGTCTGATTTAAATACCTACTAGGGTCATCAAAGCAATATCTTTTTCCATCTCCTTTTCATATGTATGTGTCTTGTTTTCTTATCCTTTCAGCCACTCTATCTTTGGGTTGGAGCACTTAATTCTTTTCCATTTAAGTTGGAGCACTTATTGATAGGAATGTAGTTGTTACCATTCTTTATTCCTGTTTTTGATACATATATTTTCTTTTTAAAGAAGTCCCTCCAACATTTCCTGTAATACTGGTTTGGTGGTTATGAATTCCTTTAGCTTATTTTTGTCTGGGAAGCTCTTTATCTGTCCTTTAACTCTAAATGATAGTTTTGCTGGATAAATTATTCTTGGTTGTATATCCTGTATATCCTGGGTCTTCATCCTGTCGAATATTTTGTGCCAAGCCCTTCTGTCCTGCATAGTTTCTTTTGAGAAATCAGCTGCCAGTCTTATGGGTATTCCCTTATATTTAATTATTTATTTTTCTCTTGCCGCTTTTAATATTCTTTCTTTGTATTTAAACTTTAATTTTAATTATG